TATGAAAAAGTGGATCATTTTATTCTGTATTATTATTGATTAACTATTGAATTATTTTCCATAGGAACAACTGTAAATGTACTTTTGCCCCACCCTGTATGTACACATTCATATATTTATTTATCCATGCATGTATTTATTTATTCCTTTAGTCTGATGAATAATTGGAAAAAACAATTTGTGAATGACTATAAAAACCAAGCAGAACTGTGATATATTATAGTATGAAATTAAATGGAACTTAAAGGAATTACCTAGATTTATAATTTAACATGGATAAATATTGAAGACAAATTACTGAGTAAAAGTAAGCAAGCAAAAGAATGAAACTTATGCCGTATAAATACACAAATTCGTGTACACATATTATTTCTAAACATACACGGATGACCTTTGAAGTATTGAGAAAGACTGTAAGGGTGACATTAACCTTAATATGAAGTTGTTTTTTTTTTTAAGGAGAATGCATTTTTGTATTACACAGGTAATTAAAGTTAGTTATAATAAAACTAACTGATGGTTAGCTCTAGGTAGATGTATAAGAGTTAAATTAAAATGAACTCAGAATTGGAGGAGAAGCCATGATAAAAGGATTTGGTGATAACACTAAATTCATTTTAATGTATAAATAAGGCTGAACAACCAAGCAATTATATTTTTAGTACATATTTTATATATTTGAAGTCTTGACAATATAAAAATCATAATGAACAGAAATTAGTAGGAAGACAGAGAAAGGCAAGGAACATATATGTGATGTTGATTTGACATCACTTTGATGTAAGAACACATTGTAAAGATATATTTCCTAGTGTACTAAATTTTATAAATATTTTTGTTTAGACTAGACAATTCTACACCAAGATAAAGTTATATCTTTTACTGTAAGTCCCTGCCAAATGACTGACAGAGCCTTAGGTACAGGATTGGCATCATACAAATACTGACATAACAGTAATGGTACAGGCTATGACAACTTCTTCAGGAAATAGCATGGTCCCATTATCAAATGCTGTTGGGTGGCCTGAATTTAGCTACTCATATATCGTATTACTAAATATTCAGGAAAATATACCCTTGGCAATATTCTGATTCTACCCACGTTCTACCTATAGCTACATCACGCATTGGTCAGAAAAACATTTTAGTAGTTGCACAGCTGCTGTAAGAGAAAAAGACTCAAAATTCATGAGCTATGGATATTCTCCTGATCAAATTACTTGACCTCTCCAAGACCATATTTATGCCGAAACCGGTTTGGTTCGGAGGATAGAGCGTCGGG